TTTCTGTGCTGAGGATTGAATCCAGGACCTTGTATAAGCTAGGTAAATGCTCTGCAACTGAGCTACATACATTCCTAATCATAAATAAATAAATAAATGTATGTTACTTATTTATTTTAAATTTTGAGACAAGGTCTTGCTAAGTTAACCAGATTGACCCCAAACATTTGATCTAAACAAACAAACAAACAAACAAACCAGAAACTGACAGAAACAAAAAACTTCGATTTTATTGTTTTAGCCTCCTGAGTAGCTGGAATTCCATGGCAAAGTTTACATTTCTTTTTTTTTTTCTTTCTTGGTGGAACCGTGGATTGAACTCAGGCCTTTACGCTTGCTGGGGAAGCGCTTGATCTACTGAGCCATCTCCCCGACCCCTGGTTTATACTTTTTGCTGTTCCCTTGAAATGCCTGCCTGTCAGCTGCCCTTGATCACAGTACAGAATGTGTAGTACACACTGTGGAGATGCAGTTTCAGATTCTGTTACTAGTTGTGTGGCCAGAGTTATTCAGACTTCATGAATCAGTATCCTCTGTTAAAAGGGAGTTATAATAGATCTATGATTTAGGATTGGATAAGGTTTACTCATTTTATTCTGAATAAAATCTTTTTAGTTTAGAGGCTATCAGGGGATAAGCACTCATAAGTGTTAGCTTTTTGTTTTGTTTTGGAGACTGGGTCTCTCTGTATAGTTCATGCTGGCCTTGAATTCAGTATGTAGCCCAGGCTGGTCTTGAACCTGAGGTGGTTTTCCTGCCTCAGCCTCCCTAATGCTGGGATTACAGGCTGTGCCATCATGCCCCGTTTAACCATTATTATTTTTTATCATATCATTCAATTATCTGTCTATTCATTCATCTATCTATCTTTTTTTTTTTTTTTTTAACTGGGAATTGAACTCAGGACCTTGCACTTGCTAGGCACCACCATGCCCAGCCTATCTGTTTGTCTTCCTATTGATCTACACATCCTTTAGCCATCATGAGTTGTGTTACAGCTCTGAGGAAGTCCTCTGGAGTGGAGATGCAGAACATTGACTTACCATACTCAGGTAGCAAACTTCTGTCACAGGAAAATAATTTTGAGATGCATCAGTCAGAGGCATGCAGAGGTTTATTAAGTAGTATGTTAAAATTACACACTCAAAAAAGAGTACAAAAATTAAAAAAAGAGTGCAGACCCTCAAGAGGGGGAGAGGTACCTATATTAGGGGTTGGGGTTTCTATGTGGATTTGGATGTCCCTAAAGTGGCCTCTGTAGGGCATATATTCCCAGTGTCTGGTGCCAGCTCTTTGATGGTCTGTGTTAGATGTAAACCATTTGCTGTGTTGGAAGCTGAGATGTGCTGGCCACTTGGTTGCGTTGCTTCTTGAGGTTGGGATTTGTATGAGGGAGCTCAGTGTATACATGGAAGACACAGGCCCAGGGCCAGTTTATAGCTTATTTTTTTGAGTGACTTGTATGTCCCGAAGGGGCAGTTTTCCTTAAAAATGCAATTTAAAATAGTTTAAATTTTTATTAGTACACATTGATAATCAAATGATTACATTCATTGTGGGGAGTTGGCATCCATATGTAACACGTCTTAATTCTTTTTACTGTCCCTTCTCCTCTCCTTCCCTACACCCTCTACCTCTTGAGTTCCTTTCTCTTTGCAAAAGATTGTCTCCCTATTTCCTGTCATCTATCTTTTCTTTTTTTTCCATTTATGGGTTTGGTACAGGTTCTCACTACACAGCTCGTACTCATAGAGATCCTCCTGTTTTCAGCCTCCCCAGCACAGGGATTACAGGCGTGTGCTACCACAACTCCATTGCTGGCTCAGCACAACCCCTGGGGGGGCATGTCATGCGGGACCAAGGATTGAGCCCTGGTCTCTGGGCTTGCCAAAGCAGGCACTTAGTCCATTGCACTATCTCACCAGCCCTTTCCTATTATCTATCTTTTACATATTTTGCCCTTTATATTTTGGGTTTCTCATATAAGAGAAACCATGTGATATTCAAGCTTGTGTGCCTGATTTATTTCACTTAACATTATTGTCTCAAGGTACATCCATTGTCATACAAATGATTCCCATTTACCCTTCTTTTAAGCAGAGTAGTACCTCACTGTGTATAAATACCACATTAAAAAACCACACTTTTAGGCTGGGTGTAGTGCTTCACTCCTGTAATCCCAACACTCAGGAGACTGAGGCAGGAGGGTCACCATGAGTTTGAGGCCAGCCTAGGCTACATATTGAGTTCAAGCCTAGCTTGAACAACATGATACCCAGTCTGAACTAAAACCAAACCAAAACAAAATACAGTTTAACAAGAACAAATTTCCTTGTCTCTTTTTCTACCTACCTTTATTTTTTTCTATCTTACCTTCTTAGTTCCAGTTATTCTGTTGGCTCTAGCCCTGTCCATTGTCCACTATTCTTTGCCCTGCAGTGTTCCCTGGAAGCCTGACTGCTACAGATTGCATCACCCTCCTGTTTCTGTGTGTATTCAGCCATTGGGAGGATGCAGCAGGAGAGAGATGCTGAAGGACAGAGAAGATGGGGTGTTCATTCTCCACATCCTTCATCTTGCTACAGTTCTGATAATGAGTAACTTTCCTCTACTGAAGTTATTCTCAAATAGTCCTTAAGGGCCAGCGAGATAGCTCAGCAGAGTAAATGCTAGCTTAGGCAAGCACAGGGGCCAGGGTTCAAGGGCCAGCGTTTGATCCTTGGCACCACATGCTGCACTGGTTGTGCCCCTGGGTGCGCAGAGCCAGCAGTGGAGTCTGGGCATGGTGGGGCATGCCTGTAACCCCAGCACTAGGGAGGCTGAAAACAGGAGGATCAGTACGAGTCCAAGCTACATAGTGAGACCCTGCACCAAAAAAAAAAAAAAAAAAAAAAAAAAAAGTCCTTAGACAGCAGCATCAATATCAGCTGGGACCTATTGACAATACGAGCTTCCAGCTCCCACCATGAGCCCTCAGATCCTATCAGTGACCTGCTAGTATGCCAGAGACTCTGGAAGTGGGTCTAGCAAACCACAGTGGTTAACACACACACCAGTGACACTAATGCACACTAGTTTGAGTCCCACTGGTCTAGCATTACAGGTGCCTTTGGTCACCTCTAATCAAAACTCTTGAAAACTATTTGCTCCTTTTGTCCTACAGGCTTTGGTATGGTATTAAGCTCCCCCTTCTGCTAGACCTGGTCTCCCTGCACCCTCATTGTGCCTTATTCCTAGCCCTATTTCTTTTTTTCTTTTCTTTTTTTTTTTTTTAATTTTAAACATTTATTTATTTGTTTATTGTGTGTGGGGGGGCCAGCTCAGCCCACCAGGGGGCGGGGCTGGCTGGCATGTGGTGCTGGGGGATCGAACCACGGTCCTGTGCTTTCCCAAGCCTGTTCCAAGTGGGTGCTTTAGACCACTGAGCCATCTCACCAGCCCCCTAGCCCTATTTCTTAAATTGCTCCTTTATCAAAGCCTTTCTAGTTAATTTTTTTTTTAAAGTTTATTTATTTATTGTGTGTGTGTGTGTGTGTGTGGCCAGCTCAGCCCACCAGGGGGCGGGGCTGGCTGGCATGTGGTGCTGGGGGATCGAACCGTGGTCCCTGTGCTTTGGTAAGCTTGTTCTAAGTAGGTGCTTTA